TGCAACCCCTGGGGTAATTACATTGTATTAAAGACGCAGCAATAGCGTCAGATGCAGCAGATTTTATAACACCTGGTTAAACTTTGTGGCCCATTTACAGCTCTCATTCATTAAAAAAATTAAAAGTCAAAGTCAAGTCAAAGTCAAAGTCAGCTTTATTGTCAATTCAGCCACATGTACAAGACATACAGAGAATCGAAATTGCGTTACTCTCAGACCCAAGGTGCTTAACATTAATATAAAATATATATATAAAAAAAAAAAAAGAAGAATAGACTTGGGTCCATTGGTGTGTGTGCGCCATTGCATGCAAGGTTTCTGTATTTATAACCACCTCAGAGGATATTGGGGGTTGTGAGTCACTGGCATTGTCATTTTGGGGGTCGCGGCCTGAAAACCCCTGGCTTAAGCAACCTCAAAAAATGCTAATTTTGTTTGATTCAAATGTTTAGAAATTAAACTCATGAGACAGTTCTTTATTTACAGTTTAATTTTATTGGCTATACTGACGAGAGGCGTTACAAAGATGGCCGCCGAGTGAAATGCCTTAAAAGGATTAAGTCTTAATTCTCATTCCGGCCTGATGGTCTGACTGAGGCGACTCACATCTAAGCCTCTCTGATAAGACATTTCTTGTTGGATAAAGAACTGTCAGCTTCAGGTCAACCTTGGCAAAACAAAACTGCTAGTGTAGGTTTTTATTCAACAAACCCAGGCTCATTCTGTAAATGTAGCCCTATATAAATTTCTAGAGAGCGCACAATACCTCCCAGGAGCTACATTTTTTTGCAGTTTTTGTTTTCTCGAATCCACCAGAGGCCGCTGTGTACGCTTTTTCACATCTCAAATTTTCTATCGACCGACTGACTGACTGATCACCCCACCACCCCCTTCTCTAAACCCAACCGATAGTGTTTTCAGAAGCACCAATTGACCAGCGCCCACCCACTTCCCGAAACTCGATCGACAGTGTTAAAAAGCAATCCAGAAAAAGAAAAGCCCTCGCGGCGGCCTGCTTTTTACCACGCGTTCAGATCTTATCACATTCTCACCCTGTTATGTACTTGTTTATTTTATTTTTGGCTTTTGATTTTGTTTTACCTGCTTTCTCAAACCATTCTTGGCCAGACTCAAACCCTGTCGTCACGGTCAACTCCGCTCTGTCTCTCAAATCCTCTAACGAGCTCGCAAATTGGTAACAGTGGAAAAGCCGTTCATAGGAAGGTAAGCGGTCAGCTGGTAGCGCGAAAAGGAACGACGTCATACCACCATGTAGCAAATGTTTTAAAGACGAAACGCAGCCATACGTCACTCTGGCTATATAATTAGTGATCTCCAAAAATGTATATTAAGTTACGTTTTCAGAATGAGACATGTTGAATCCAACCCATTTTTAAGGAAGACAACAAAATATTCAGATCAGGTCTCCTATTTTGCATTTATTTCTTATTTATTAAAACATTCATGCTAAGTAAACTCTGCTAGAGTAAGTGGGACTTGTCTCATCACTCGCACACTGTTGCTGATTAGTTGGTTTGATTGCTGCTATTGTTCTCCTTCATTTGTAAGTCACACTGGATAAAAGCGTCTGCTAAATGATTAAATGGAAATGAGCCAGCTCAAATGTTCAGCGCCTCGGGGGGCCCTCGAGGAACCGACTAAGTGTGTTTATACGTGCAACCAAACACTGATGATCCAATCAGCTTATTATGATGTGTGTAGAGCGGATTTTAAGTTTTATGTTTTGAAATCAGAACATGCAACTAATGCAGGGCGGCACGGTGGCTCAGTGGTTAGCACTGTCACCTCACAGCAAATAGGTCGCTGGTTTGAGCCTCGGCTAGGTCAGTTGGCATTTCTGTGTGGAGTTTGCATGTTCTCCCCGTGTTGGCGTGAGTTTCCTCCGGGTGCTCTGCTTCTGGTTTATAGGGGAACGGGATGAGTGTGTGTGTGATTGAGTGTATGGGTGTTTCCCAGTACTGGGTTGCGATCCGCTGCGTAAAACATAGTTGGCGGTTCATTCCGCTGTAGTGACCGCTGATAAATAAGGGACTAACCCAAAATAAAATGAATGACTAAATGGTTAACAAATGCACATGCAGGCATTCGCTGGCATCAGTTCAAATGGAAAATCTTTTTCCGAACCACAACATAACATCATTTAGGCAAAGGCCTTCTTCACTCAGTCCCACAAATTCATCTAAGCTGCTTAAGCATCCCTGCCAGGGAATTTTATTCAATTTTTAAGAGCTTTATCAGCTGATTCAGGTGTGTCTGGGTGAGTGCAGAACTCTGCAGGACAGAGAATCCCAAACGCAGGGCCGAGGAGTTAGGGCTTTTCAGTCATGACAACTTTCAATATAGGATTGGCACGTGGATGTGTGTAATGCATTTGCTCACAATGTACACCTGCAGCAGTAGCTACTCACTACTGTCATCATGTACACAGGAACTTACAGATTGAGTGAAAATGCAAATACAATATCTTCCAATCCAGATCTAGACAGGCGGCACTTGGGGGATTGGAGGAACAACTTACAACAAATATCAAATGTTAAATATTAAGCAATGCATCTCAATGGCTTTAAATACTGCAAAGGACATTTCGCTTGTGCCACATAGTCATAAAAGATTTCTAGTAGATTGCACATGAGCCGTTTGCTATGTTTCCTTCCACCTTATTTTACTGTATGCAATTTGGAATATTGCCTAAAAACGACTAATAAAAACGCTAAATTGGCAAAACATTTTGAAAATGCACAAAAAAAAATATGCACACAGTTAAAGACAAACATTTTGAGCTCCAATGGAAACACATTCACAGAATAAATTCCAGTATGGGCTTATAAAAAGTGATGGGATTTTGTTTGAACTAACCCAGGCTCATTCTGAAAGCGCAGTTCCGTGGACGTTTCTGGAGACTGCGCAATAGGTCCCGGGAGGTACGTATTTTTGCAGTTTTTGCTTTCGTGAATCCACGAGAGGCTGCTGTGTGTGCTCTTTTGTATCTCAAATGTCTCTCGCGAGTGCTGTTCGCGTCTGCGATGTTCTCGCGTAAACCCACCAGAGGCCGCTGTCTGACCGACCGTCTGTCTGACTGACTGAATGATTGACTGGGCGACCGGCTAATCAACTGACCCACCCTCTTCCTTCCCTAAACCCAACCAATTTTACCGATTGACCCGGCCACCAGCTTACATCCCTAAACCAAACCGACAATTTACAAAAGCCGTCCAGAAAAAGAAAAGCCCTCGTCTGATTTTTACCACGTTTTCAGATTTTACAACATTCTCACCCTGTTATGAACTCGTTCAGTTTAGTTTTTGCATTCTGTTTTTATCTTGCCTCATTTCTGGAGCTGCTCTTCCCCGGACTCGAACCCGGTCGTTGTTGTCGTGGTCAACTCTTCTCTGCATCTCAAGTCCGCCAACGTACACGACGAGCTAACTGGACATACTGGTTGAGGCGAGAAAGCCCTCCACGTTGAGGAAAGCGGTCAGCTGGTAGGCGCAAAAGGAACGGCGTCAGAACGCTCCGTATCGTTCGTTTAAAAACCTCCGGCTACATAATTCACAGTCTCCAGAAACGTCCACGGGACTACGTATTCAGAATGAGCCTGGGTTGCAATGCATTAATGGACTATCCAGCCTTTCCAGCACATTGTAAAAGATCTGAAATGTTGTTTCGCTCATTTCTAAAACACCTCAGCTGTCGGTCCGTCCTCACAGTATTTCAGTATTATTATTATTCTATTATTACTCCCTCAAGAACTGTCTTGAGCATCGCAAAGAGCGTCTCACGCCTCCAGAAGCCACCGCATTGCATTCATTGTGTTTCGTCTTGGTCTTCTGAGGCGCAACTCGTTTATTAAAGGAAGAAAAAGACCACAGTGGCTTCTCCCAATGCACTACACTACATTTACATCATGTCTGATATTTGCTGCCAGCTTATTAGAAAGTGACCATTTTTTTCTCTTTGACTCTTTTGATGGAAACCGTTGAGCTTTTGGAGTGGGATTGGTTGGGTTATTGTGACTGATTTTCCATATGCTGTCACTTTTATTTATAATGAAATGTTGCATCGTGGCTCAGTGTTTAGCACTGTCACCTCACAGCAAGAAGGTCACTGGTTTGAGTCCCGACTGGGCCAGTTGGCATTTCTGTGTGGAGTTTGCATGTTCTCCCCGTGTTGGCGTGGGTTTTCTCTGGGTGCTTCGTTTCCCCCCACAGTCCAAACACATGTGGTATAGAATTGGGAGAGCTAAACTGGCTTTGTGTATGTGTGTGAATGAGTGTGTATGAGTGTTTCCCGGTACTAGGTTGCAGCTGGAAGAGCATTCGCTGTTTAAAATATATGCTGGATAAGGAAAATTAATGAATGAAAGCAAACCCTGCTAAAAAAATCAGGCCCTGTTTACAAGATATAAAACAAGTCTCTGATGCCTCTAGAGAGAGTGTGTGTGTGTGTGTGTGTGTGTGTGTGTGTGTGTGTGTGTGTGTGTGTGTGTGTGTGTGTGTGTGTGTGTGAAGTTTCAGCTCAAAATACCCTCCAGATAATGATTATAACTCTGTGAAACTGACCCTTTTAGGCTTTGATCCTGATTGTGGTGTTTCGGTGACTGTCTCTTTAAATTTAAATGAGATTGTGCTCTTTTCATAAGAGGGCGGAGCTACAGATGCCTGTTTGTCAGCATAGTGGCAGATTCAAAAACAAGACTGACGTCATATGCTAATGAGGGAAAGGCGGTCACTAGTAGGCGGGGCTTCCCCCCTCTGATGACATGTGTTTCCGTTTTCATCAGGTCTGATTATAAAACATACAATGCATTCATGTTTACCATTAGAAGCTGCGCATATTCACACACTGCTGATGCACAACTGTGTTTAAACCCCTTATTAGTGTGGTTTCTGCATAATAGGCTGCATAAACAAGCTTGAAAGTAAAACACAGTCAATTGCTTGTAGTTTCCTAATAACAGAATAGAAAAGATGTGTCCTCACCAGGGGAAACTCGTGGGACACGCGGCCGTCGGGTGGCAGTTTTGCACCAAATCCCAGCGCAGGGAAGAGCTTATCGCTGTCATAGTCCTGAATAATCTCCCCCACGGCTCGGAGCGCCAGTGCATATGCGTTCAGATGATACGGGCTCATGTAGTGGAGAGAGGTAGGCTGCGAAGGGTTGCCTGCCAATAACGAAAGCGGAAAATGCAGGAATTAATACTATTTCAACATGTGAAATGTCTATTTAAAGACAGAGTTCACCTAAAAAATGAACATTTACAGTGTAAGTCAGATTTATTCGCCCTCCTTATATCTTTCCCCCAATTCCTGTTTAACAGAGAAGATTTCTTCAACACATAATCATAATAGTATTAAAAACTCAGCTCTAAAAACTGATTTATTTTATCCTTGCCATGATGACAGTAAATAATATTAGACTAGATATTCTTCAAGACACTAGTATTCAGCTTAAAGTGACATTTAAAGGCTTAACTAGGGTAATTAGGGTGAAGTTAGGGTAATTAGGCAAGTCATTGTACAGTGGTTTGTTCTGGAGACAATCCAAAACTAATATAGCTTAAGGGGGCTAATAATATTGACCTTAAAATGGGTTTAATAAAACTGGTTGAAATTAAGGGAGTTTTCCAGGAGAAATAAAACGGGAAGGTGGCGGGAGATGGGTCTGAAATACGGGAGACTTCTGGGAAAAACGGGAGTGTTGGCAGGTATGCTCACTCATACTCTCTAAGCCGTGGTGTAGAGGTCTGCATTCCTGCAGGTCCCGACCAGATTTCTTGCGGTGCAGGAATAATGCGCGGGAGCGGTCGGTAACTTTGGTTTAAACTGAACGGGAGTGGGCGGTCTATAAATATCGACTCCTGAGCGAGCGAGCACGCGTATGTATGTGAGTGAATGAGAGAGTGTGATGCTTTGGTTAGCTTACTTGTTGGTGTCTATGTGTGTGTGTGTGTGTGAATGAGAGAGAGAGAGCTTCGTGCTGTCCATGTGTGTGTGTTTATACAGACAGCTTGTTGTTGTTGGGTGGTTTTTAATTTTGTCCTTAGCGGGAACGGGCGCGGAGGGTGGAAAATGGGGCGGGGCGGGCAGCGTGACAACAAATGCTGAATATAAGCGGGAATGGTCAGGTTCGGAGTAAAACCTGGCGGGAGCGGGAATCAAAATTTTGTCCCGCGCAGATCTCCACGTGGTGAGCATTTCTCTCTGTCTCGAGCTGAACGCTGTCGACCAATCGCAACTAACTGTCAACAGTCCAATCAGAGCAGATTAGCTTCGCACTAAGGAACAAATGAATCGCTAAACGAATCATAAGGGAGTCGCTGGGATAATTAGGTAAAAATAAATGCAGATTATAAGACAATGAAAGTGTTTTTTGACCTTGCATGCAGATCAGCATGTTGTTGGAGACTCCCAAAACCAAAATATGACTCTTCTTAATGTATAATAGCGGCTCTTTAACTAAATATCATGACTCATTGAAGACTTTTGTAAATATCCTACTTTAAATATATGCTGTGTATTAGTATTTATTATTATCACATTCATAATATTTACTGATTTATTTTTTGTTTATATTCATAATTTGTATTGATTAATAATATGCATTGACTGTAGATTACTGTTTACTGTAGATCATTTCCAACAAATGTTATTGAATCATTTAAATGTAAACATATCTAAAACATCAACAAAACATACACATTTACACTCACAATGCAGAAGACTTTTATTATTTTATTTGCAAAGCAACCTTAGAGAAAAGAGCGCTCACCGTTTGACGCAGTGAAATCAATGGCCACCGTGAAATTAATTTGAGTGCTGCAAAAGCCAAACATTAAGACAAGCATGAGTCAGCTTATGAACATGAGAAATACAGTCTGATACCCATGACTCCCTCTCAGCATCTCAAGCACTAATCTCTGCCTGTTTTTGCAGGCGTCTTATAGATATTCCTGGGATGTTTCTCCAGTGTTTGCTTGGTTTGAAGGCCAGGTCATGTGCCCGGGGTCTCTGCGACTCTCAGAATAGAGCGCTCTATTTATAGCCTGGGTTATTACGGCATCATAATGCAGTGTGTGTGTGTGTGTGTGTGTGTGTGTGTGTGTGACGTGAAGAGCAGGAGAGCGAAGGAAGAGGGAATTATTCATGGATGGAGAGGCGAAGCGATGTGTTTGCAGTCTCGAGTGTGTTCGCATCTTATTTCTGTATGCATGGAGAACCCGCGTGACGTCACCAGAGCCTAAATATACCTGAATTCCACAATGATGAATTCATTTAGAAGAAGAGGCGCTCAACCAAAACGTGATTTCTTATTTTATTAACCCTTGTGTGCTGCTGGGCGTGTTTTCATCCTTTCTGAGGGGATTTTTAGGCTTGATTTGTCCATGATTTTCCCCGTGTTTCAGCAGATAGAATTATTTTTGGTGACAAATCTTGTTTGAAAGCATATTTTGAGAAAATGCTTTAAAACTTTACAATAACTCAACAATACACTTTGTGCAAATCGTCATGTTGGGCGCTGTTTTTGTCCCATTTACTTCCATTATAAGGACAGTTTGTGATTGCAAAGCCATAACAGCATTACACTCACCGGCCACTTTATTAGGTACACCTTACAAGTACCGGGTTGGACTCTCTTTTGCCTTTAGAACTGACTTAATCCTTCATGGCAGAGATTCAACAAGGTGCTGGAACTATTCCTCAGAGATCTTGCTCCATGATAGCATCACACAGTTGCTGCTGATTTGCCAATCCCTCGTTCCACCACATCCCAAAGGTGCTCTATTGAATTGAGCTCTGGTGACTGTGGAGGCCATTTGAGTACAGTGAACTCATTGTCAAGTTCAAGAAACCAGTCTGAGATGATTCATGCTGTATGACATGGTGTGTTATCCTGCTGGAAGTAGCCATCAGAAGATGGAGACACTGTGCTCATAAAGAGATGGACATGGTCAGCAACAATACTCAGGTAGGCTGTGGTGTTGACACCATGCTCAATTGGCACTAATGGACCCAAAGTGTGCCAAGAAAATCTCCCCCACAGCATTACACCACCACCACCAGCCTGAACCATTGCTACAAGGAAGGATGGATCCATGCTTTCATGTTGCTGAGGCCAAATTCTGACCCATTTAAATGTGTCAGCAGAAATGGAGACTCATCAGAGCAGGCAACGTTTCTCCAATCTCCTATTGTCCAGTTTTGGTGAGTCTGTGTGAATTGTAGCCTCAGTTTCCTGTTCTTAGCTGACAGGAGCAGCACCCGGTGTGCTCTTCTGCTGCTGTAGCCCATCCCCCTCAAGGTTGGTCGTTTTGTGTGTTCAGAGATGCTCTTCTGCAGAGCTCGGTTGCTTATTTGAGTTACTGTTGCCTTTCTATCAGCTGGAACCAGTCTGGCCATTCTCCTCTGACCTCTGGCATCAACAAGGCATATGCACCCACAGAACTGCCGCTCACTGGATATTCCCTTCATTTTCTGTAAACCCTAGAGATGGTTGTGCGTGAAAATCCCAGCAGATCAGCAGTTTCTAAAAGACTCAGAGCAGCCTGTCTGGCACTAGCAACCATGTCACGTTCAAAATCACCTAAATCCTCTTTCTTCCCCATTCTGATGCTCAGTTTGAACTGCAGCAGATCGTCTTGATCATGTCTGCTTGCCTAAATGCATTGAGTTCCTGCCTTGTGATTGGCTGATTAGAAACTTGTCAACAAACAGCTGGACAGGTGTACCTAATAAAGTGGCCGGCAAACGTATAATCATGCATACTTTATTGTTGCAGGTTTTCCTTGTTGAGAAGAGGTAAAATTAGTCATTTTTACTGTTGATTATCAGTTGCAGTGCAAAAACACTAGTTTCTGCTTTCTATAGGGAGTATAGTGTGCTCAGAGGGATGGAAAAAGAGCGGTGCTTGTCATTCATCACAATTTAACAGAGTTTTCCAACAACTTTCATGTATTTCGGAAGATAGTCATGAATTAGCAGGTTGTACATCCAGCAGCTCTGATCTCTCCTGAAACATTATCCATTATATATCAATGAATATGATCATTATTTAGCACAATAAACAAAAACCTCACATGCAGGCTCAACGGGAGTATTTAAAACGTGTGTGTGAAAGGGTTAGATTAACATTACACCACACAAACTGCATAAAGCAACCCCCCAGAACACAGAAATACACAACACAGCATGTCTTTAAAGTGATTTAGTTCACGTTCGAGTCCTCATAAAGCATGCATTAATGTAAACTCACCCTCCTTTAATGTAGTCCAGGAAGGTGACCTCGACGTCGATGAAGCAGGACAGCAGAGTGACCTGTCGACATGAAACTTTGGTAACACTTCCTATGTAGAGTCCTAAAGGGCATCATCACACTTTCAGTAAGCAATGCATACTTTAATCATAAATGTCATATCAATATTCATGCTCGGGGGGGGGTGATGATGCAACTCCCTGGAGTCACAGCCAATCAGGAGCTCCACCGGCGCTTATGAATATTCATGTGCACCGCTTATGAAGGCGTCGTGCATTGCTTATGAAGACATAATGCAGGACCTTCTATAAGAAGTCTTACCAATAAGGATGTGTGTTCGTTAGAAAAGGGCGCCACTTTTATTTTTGCTCTTCTTAGGAACGTTTGTTTAATCGCTGTTTTTAATGGTGAGGAGTCGGTAAAAAAGCACTCACGGTTCCTGAGTTCAGGTATTTCTTCTTCTTTTTCTTCTTCTTGGGATTCAGCACCTGCGGAAATAAAGAGCAAAACCATCTCTGTTGATGGTGAAAACAACCCAAGCTTATTCCGATTATGTACCCCTGTATACATTTCTGGAGAGCGCCAAATACGTCCCAGGAGCTATGTTTTTTTGCAGTTTTTGCGAATCCACCAGAGGTCGCTGTGTACGCTTTTTCAGATCTCAAATTTCTCTCGCGAGTGCCAATCTTGCCTGCTGTTCTCACGTAAATCCACCAGAGGCCGCTGTCGGTCGACTGACTGACTGACCCACCCTCCTCCTTCCCTAAACCCACGACACTGTTTTCAAAAGCAGTCCAGAAAAAGAAAAGCTCTCGCGGCCGCCTGCCTTTTTACCACGTTTTCAGATTTTACCACATTTTCACTCTGTTATTTACTTGTTTATTTTATTTTTTGTCTTATTTGCTTTCTGAAACCGTTTTTCATCACACTCGAACACTGTTGTCGCAATCAACTCTATGTCTCAAATCCTACGACGTACTCAGCGAGCCACTGGACAAACTAGTAACAGCAGAAAAACCTTCCACACCAAGTTAAGCGGTCAGCTGCAAGCGCGCAAAGGAATGCCGTCATACCGCCCCGTAGCGTTCGTTTAAGGACGAAATGCAGCCATATGTACCCCTGGCTGATCTCCAGAAATGTATATAGGGCTACGCTTTCAGAATGAGTCTATGTTGTTAAAAGACTAAAGAGATGAAGCTGATTGGTCAGTTATTGTCTTGTGCCACTGGAAAATGCGAGCTGACCCAGCCGGAACTCGAACCAGCCACCTTACAGCTGTGAAACAACAGTGTTAACCACTGAGCCACCGTGTCACCCCTCCATTTATTTATTTCATATTTATTTTACTGTGTTAATTGCACTGCTGGTTAGACCTGAACTGCATTTCGTTGCATTGTACTTGGACATGTGTCCAATGACAATAAAGTTGAATCTAATCTAATCTAATAAAGACTAAACAAGCTAAATAAATAAATGGATATTAATAGTTGTCACGCCTGTTGCAGTGCCCTCATGTGGATACTTGAGCATTTGTTTGGTTTTTGCATGGATTCCCTGCACACGTGGTCACTCATTGCTTTCAGCTGTTCCTTGCTTGTTTAATTGAGTCCTGTCTTCATTAACCCTGTTCTGTTGTGTTTTAGTCGCTTTGTGCTTTTGTTCCTCGGGGTTTGATTTCTTCACTTGATCACTTTTGTATCTTCTCGATGTTTTGGATTCCTTATTTGTTTCTTGTTTAAACTCCCCATTTTTGGTATCACTGTTTCTTACATTCCTGCTCGTTTCTTGTCTGCACTGTGTTTTTTGGATAATCGTTGTTTTGTTTAATATATTCGTTTTGCTGCACTTGGATCTTGTCTTGTTCTTGTAAACTACTATAACTATTTATTTATGCTAACTCAACGACATTTTGATCGAAATTTTTCAATATTCATTTATGTATATGCAGCATTTGTGCATCCTTTGGTGAACATCAGCACATCGGTGCTTGAATCCAGTGGCAAAAATCATCCCGAGTTTCTGGTTCAGAGATGATGGATAATAGGGAACCAGCAGCTCTCGAACGTTTGAAGACGTCCTCGATATTATCTGGTAGCCTCCTTTGATACACTTTCTTCTCTCCTACGGGTTTGATTTATACCTCAGTGATGTGGAGGTCATACAAAAGATGAAATATATATATACCTTTCACAGAGGCGGAGAAAAAATGTCGTATAGCCAGAAACATAATTTACACAAGCAAGCAAACGCAGCTCTCGGGAGATATACTGTACATCAGCTGCGTTATTGAAGACAGATTAGGCTCTGCTTATAGGTCAGCATGTCTGCATCTTGTTTTTGTTGCTTCGCAAATACAGTTGAAGATACAATTATTAGACAAAATGAGTGAACTTATGGGCGTCACGGTGGAGCCGTGGGTAGCACAATCACCTCACAGCTAGAAGGTCACTGGTTTAAGCCTCGGCTGGTCCATATGGCATTTCTATGTGGAGTTTGCATGTTCTCCCCTTGATGGCGCGGGTTTCCTCCGAGGGCTCCGATTTACCCCACTGTCCAAACACGTGCGCTACAGGGGAATTGGGTTAGCTAAATTGTCCGTAGTGTAGGTGTGTGAATGAGTGTATGGGTGTTTCCCAGAGATAGGTTGCAGTTGGAAGAACTTCCATAAAACATACGCTGGATAAGTTGGCGGTTCATTCCACTGTGGCGACCACAGTTTAATAAAGGGACTACGCCAAAAAGAAAATGAATGAGTGAAATTGCTTGAACTGAGCCGGTCTAATCCTGTTTATCTGAATTGAACCTGCTCCCGACCAGGTTTGAGCTACCAGAACTGTTGCTATGACGACAACTTTCGGATCAGTTTTGAAGAACGAAACGATCCTGGATCATTTCAAATCGTCAATAACCTAATCAGGCTCACTGAGTAATCCACGTACAAAGAACGGACCCCAGTACCAAATGCATTTTCCCCCAATCACACACTTATTAAAGTGATGTAAACATCTGCATTAAAAGCGAGCATGTTTACGATAATGTAAATGGACGTGTGTGAAAAACACATGAGGAAAAGCAGAGCGGCTCACCTCCCACACAGTGAACTGTGTGTGGCCTTTGGAAAGCTCCCTGTAGCTGGTGCTGAACTCGCCAATGTAGTCATGACTGAAAACACACACACACACACACACACACAGTTTCATGCCATATCTCGATGCAGCTTATTTCAGTATGTGCAGAATGACTCTTACCCTCCATCTCTGTCCCAGTCATACACCTCGATTTTTATTGCTCTACAAAAACAAAAGGAAGAGAAGGTTTAGCGTTTGAAAGCATGTGATATTATGGCCAACACAATGATTGACTGTTGTGTTGCTGAACTGAGTTTAATGTAATGTGCCAGCTGACCCAGCTGGGACTCAAACTAGCGACCTTCATGCTGTGAGGCGACATCGCTACCCACTGCGCCATCGAGCTGCCCCCCCCAAAAAATAAGGAAGTAAATAAAAACCAGAGGGCGGTACGGTGGCTCAGTGATTAGCACTGTGGCCTCACAGCAAGAAGGTCGCTGGTTTGAGCTTCGGCTGGGTCAGTTGGCATTTCAGTGTGGAGTTGGCATGTTCTCCCAGTGTTGGCATGGGTTTCCCCCACAGTCCAAACACATTCGCTATAGACAGGGCCGGAGCAAGCTGAAGTGCCGCTCTAGGCAAAGGACGGTCATGCCGCCCTCAACTATAAACGGGGGTGGAAGGGGGGGCGCCCTCTCTATTCTGCTGCCCTATACGCGGATATAACTGAGGGCGCGGGAGCTGAGGGTAGTGTCGGGAACGCCGCTCTCTCTATTCTGCCGTACTAGACGCGGATATAACTTAGGGCGCGGGTGGTGCGGGTGGTGTCGCGGACGCCGCTCTCTCTATTCTGCCACCCTAGACGCGGATATAACTGAGGGCGCTGGTGGCGAGGGTAGTTTCGGGGACGCCGCCTACTCTATTCTGCCGCCCTAAACATGGATATAACTGAGGGCGCGGGAGCTGAGGGTAGTGTCGGGAACGCCGCTCTCTCTATTCTGCCACCCTAGACGCGGATATAACTGAGGGCGCGGGAGCTGAGGGTAGTGTCGGGAACGCCGCTCTCTCTATTCTGCCGTACTAGACGTGGATATTACTTAGGGCGCGGGTGGTGCGGGTAGTGTCGCGGACGCCGCTCTCTCTATTCTGCAGCCCTAGACGCGGATATAACTGAGGGCGCTGGTGGCGAGGGTAGTTTCGGGGATGCCGCCCACTCTATTCTTCCGCTCTAGGCGGACGCCTAGGTCGCCTCTATGGACGCGCCGGCCCTGGCTATAAGGGAATTGATTAACCAAATTGGCCGTAGTATATGAGTGTGTAGTGACTGGAAGGGCATCCGCTGTGCAAAACATATGATGGAACAGTTGGCGGTTCATTCCGCTGTGGTGACCCCTGATAAATAAGGGACTGAGGAAAATGAATGAATGAATAAAAGTCACACCAGTGTGTTGTGGTGCATTCCTTCTATAATCATCACTAAATCCCTGAGACTTGAAACAGAGCTTCTGTTGGCTCAGATCAGACCGAATAACCTTTGGTGCCCTCCTGCACAGATGGGCCGAGGGCACCAACACCCTGTCATTGGCTTGTGCTTTGCTCCTCCTTGGGTAAATTCTCACACTGCTCAAGGGTTAGAAGTGCTCAGGCTTCGACGTTTTAGAGATACTCTGACCTAGACAAGTTGGCCCTTGTCAAAGTCACTCAGATCTTTATTCCAGCCTATTTCTACAGCATCCAACACATCAGCTGAGTTTCCTTCAGGATCTGCTCTATTAATCCTTTTACTTAACAATATCGCCCCCAAGCCGCCTCCTACTGGGTCCTAGTGCCAGCCTAATGAGAAATGTATTCAAGCGCTGCTGCTGGTACACTAATAAAAAAACGAGGAAAAAAGTGTCATAAAATCAAAACAACGTCTGATTTTTATTTATTGTGAGAAGCTACAACTTATGTGGTAAAAGAAAAGATATCGGCATCAGCTCGGCCATCAAGAGCTTGAAAAAATAGCCTAGTGGTTAGCCATAGATATATACATTAGATGTCGCCTGGCCTATTGTTGTCTATTGGATGGAATGCGTCAATAGCGCCGCCATCTTGCTACAGGGTAGCGCTCCTTTGAAATGAATGAGGGACCAAGGTACAGTGGAGGACTGTGGCCATGCAAAGCCAGAGATATACACATATACACATATATCTATGATCGGGAGTTTTCCTGGATGTTACTATCCACCCTCCCTGTTAAATTTGATCTAATCATGTGCTGAAACACAGCTCCTCTCCTGCTTTCACTGCTCATACTGACGGAGAGAGCGACTCGTTTGTGAATGAATCCCCCGAACAACTCTTTCACTAACGTTAGCCGACAATAATAAAGTTTCTGGCAGTGCAGCATCTCGTTGTCATATTTCTTTTGCATTGTTTGCTGATTTTATTCAACAAAACTAGCATAAGCCGAGTGTTTAGTGCGAGTTGGAGCTGCTTTGGCGTATGCTGAATGCAGTAAGTGACTGTTATCATCAATAACGTTACCTGATTAGCACAAAAGTTCAGAACATACAAAAACAGAAAAAAACTTAATATTACCTATGAAATGTTCTGCCTTTGTGCTGTTTTCTTAGTTTGCTCGTTACTACACCCGTAGACAGCGCTAAAGTCCCGCATCTTCACGTAATAACACTGTCTTGACTAGTGCGGTTGAATGACATTTGTCCTGGGAGCCCTGTACCAATGTGGCGGCGCTATTGACGCATGCTCAGGGTCCCTATGCGATATCTAGTGCATATATCTATGGTGGTTAGCATGTCGACATATGGTGCAGTAGCACATCAGGGCGTCCCGTGTTCGAATCCCGGCTCGAGGACATTTCCCTACCCCCCTCTCTCTCTCCAACTTCGCTTCCTCTCTAAATACTGTCCTATCTAATAAAGGCAAAAAATAAATCTTAAAAAAAATAGCTTGAAAATATCGACAAAAATCCAATATTGCGCATCCTACATTCCAAAAAAGATCCAAAAAAAGAAATTAAAATTGAAGTCTTTATCAATGATGAAGTATTTATCTGGAGCCCTTGAAGGACCGTGGGTGCATGAGCATCGCACCAGTTTCGTTTCCAGCCACGGTTGCTTCGAGTGAGGAAACGGCACCGTGCAGGTGATCATCTCATTCGTTATTCACCTGTTTTCTTTTGCTCGTGAGAAAAGCTGTTTTTGTCAGTCGTGCTGCTTCTCGATTCGGAGATCACATTTGTACGCATATAGACAAGCGGTCATAAACTAACAGTCGGATCTGTAGTGACGACGAGCCAGCACTGGCAATTTAAAAATGACTTTCAACCAGCCAAAGTGGCCAGTGAGAGTGGCTGTCTAACCCGCCACAACCGAAATCTACCCGCATTTGGCGGCTGTTAATGTAAAGCCCAATTATAATGTTAGATTTCTACATTTAGAGCTATCAGCAACAGTAGTAACAGTGCATTACAACTGATTTTTATTCAGCTTAATACTTCTTCATTTTATTTTTTATTAAATTACAGCTTCTAAGTCTTGCAGTGCTGTTTATGTAATAAAATATGTCTCCTTCGTTTTTTGGCTGATCCAAAAAATGGTCCAATCCGTGACTAAAACAACCATGATGCGATCCCAAAAGTGAGATTTGTGATCTGTTGCACCACTAGCAATGAGGAACAGTGACTATATGTAAATGTGTTTCCTCCTTCCCCAAGACGTCTAATCTTAGACTCACCTGTCATAATCCCCGTTACACAGCGCTCTGACCGGGATCTTGAAGGCCTGCCACACAGGGTCCAGCGTGTTCTTCACCACCTCGGTCTTATGACAGATGGTAAATCTGACAAACAGAAGACGTCAAAGAGGAGGAACCACAACACGGGAGGTGAGAAGCAGTCGGTGTGAAAAGGGCTCTGAAATAGGTCATATGACACATGCACCATCCCCTGGGAATCTGTCAATAGCTGCGTTTCCATCCAAAAATGCGATTAGACTTGGGAATATTGCATTAAACATTTGCCAAAATTTCCATTAATTAGTCAAAGAGAACAGAATGGTCACTTCCTGATAAACTGGAGCAAATATCAGACAGAGAAATGTAGTTTAGTGTGTTTGGAGAAGCCACTGCAGTGTTTTTTCTTCTCTAATAAATGAGTTGCGCCTCAGCAGACAAAACATAGTGAATGCGGTGGCTTTTGAAGGCGTGAGACGCTCTTTGGGAGCGCAGACAGATGCTCAAGACAGTATTATTGATCTTAAAATGATCTCAAAATCACAGTAATATCACTTATTGCAACAACTGTTGTGACAATGCAATTCGTGACGGGCCTAAATAAGAACAGCCCTTTGTATTGGAAAAAATGGGGTAAAATTACTTACGTTCCATCTTCATTGCTACGGTAAAACACCAGGAAAGGGTCTGATTTCCCAAAGAAGTCTTTCTTGTCCAGTTTGTTGCCACAAAACTGCATCAATACTGACTCCTGATCAACAACAGTAAATAAATACATACATACATAAGGTAATGGCAACCCAGGCTCATTCTGAAAACGTACCCCTATTTACATTTCTGGAGAGTGCGAAATACATCCCAGGAGCTACGTTTTTTGCTGTTTTTGTTTTCGCGTATCCACCAGAGGGCGCTGCGTATGCTTTTAGAAATCTCAAATTTCTCTCGCTAGAGACATTCACGCCTGCTGTTCTCGCGTAAATCCACCAGAGGCTGCTGTCGACTGACTGACAGACCGATAATGGACGGATAATAACCCAACGTATAATGTCTTCAAAAGCACCGATTCACCCGCGCCCACCCACTTCCCTAATCCCAACCAATAGTGTCTTTAAAAGCACGATTGACATGTCAGTGTTTTCGAAAGCCATCCAGAAAAGGTAGAGCCTTCACGGCCACTTTATTTTTATCCCGTTTTCAGATTTGACCACATTCTCACCATGTTATTTACATATTTATTTTATTTTTGGCTTTAGTTTGACCCGCTTTCTGGAACCATTTTTCGCCAGACTCGAACCCCTTGATTACAGTCAACTCCACTCCACATCACAAGTTCACCGACACACATGGCGAGCCACTGAACAAACTAGTAACAGCAGAAAAGCCGTCTGTACGAAGGTAAGCAGTCATCTGGTAGCACGTAAAGGAATTTTTGGTTTTGAACGTTCCTCTGGCTAAATAATACGCACTCTCCAGAAATGTATATAGAGCTACGTTTTCAGGAGTCTGGATTGGGTAATGGTGTGATAACTGTCTGTGTTGGTGTATAATAATTGGAATAAAAAACAGTCAATGTCTCTAATGCTGTGTTCACACCAGATGCGGAACGCACGGATAAATTGCGCTATTCACGCGTAAATAGCCGCGTGAACATTTGAGTTTACTCGCTTCATTCGCGCGTCAAACCCCGCTTCATTCGCATGTCAAATTCACTTCAGAACAGACGTGGATTCGCGTGATGGGCAGGGCTTCTGTCTGCCCGAAGACTCTAGCTTCATAGCTAAATAGCTAACATGGATTTTATGAAGAAAATAACATTGTTTATGTGCTTTATGAAGACTGAAAAACAGCGTTGATACGTTTATGGTCGTGTCTGAGTCCACTGCATCCTTTCAGAGGTGTAGCAGCTCTGTGAGCTCAAAAACTCCTCCAGAAACTGAACCTGGATGACGGAGGCTTTCAGCGGTGCTTCTGACTGAGCCAAGCCGAGTTTGATGAACTGTTGTCGGAGAAGGCTGGAGGATTTCCCTCGGAACACCGACAACAGGTTCTACGTCACAATCACGCCCCCACAAGAGCAAGCTTCTGATTGGTTAACGCGGCGCGAATGTACGCTGAAGTTCAGATATTCGAATTCGAGAGATTCGCGCGAAACGCTCGTTAAGCGCGTCAAACGCGCAAAATGTTCAATTCGCCCCGCGCCATTCGTGCAATTTGCGTAATTCGCGCCACGCCATTCGCGCGTATCGCGCCGCAGGATGTCTATTCGCGCGTTTGCATGGACTTAACATGTAAATCACTCGCGCTTGACGCGCGTGCCGTGTCTGGTGTGAACGCAGCATTAGATGTTATTCAGCAAACGTTTACCATACAGAAGGAAAATAAAGAAGAAAGCAGACATGAAGAGATGAGACCAAAAAATAAACAAGTAAAATAAGAGAACAGAAACTACAAGGAGAGAATATGAAGGATGAAAAGGAGAGAAGCAACAAGATTAAAGAAGAGATGAGGAGAAGAAACAGCAAGAAGATGCAGATTAATAAACAGAGAGAAGGAGAGACGACACAAAATGTCTTGCATTAAACTGCAGCACACACTACAGAGAAATCCTGATCCATTCAGAATACTGATGACGTGCAAATGCAGGTATAAATCATTTACAAAGCGTTCTGATTCTGCTAATAATTACTGATTTTTATTTGAGGCCAAAAATCATTAGAACATTCAGATTTTGTATTTTTCATAAAAGATTTTGTAAACGTCCTACTATAAACATATCAAGACTTCATTGCTGATTAGTATAGTGCAGGGGTCACCAATCTCGTTCCTGGAGGGTTTAGCTCCAACTTGCCTCAACACACCTGCCTGGGTGTTTCAAGTACACCTAGGCTGCGTACGAAACCGCCTACTACTCAGTAGGTGCTGCATTTGAATGTAAACGTACTACTTGGCGGTTAGAAAAGTACGCTGTATACAGTATGAACGTGAAAAGTATGAATGGAATTCTGACGAACTACATCCGGCATTTTGTCATGGTCACGTGACCTACCTCCGTCAATTGCGTCGCTTTACTCCCATTCATGAATTCTCTCACGGGGCATCATGGGATAGCACAGCATGCATGGTATGCGCACTTTAGATTCTCGCTGGAAGTAGTAAGTCATCCGGGTACTTCTCGCATACTGATGTTCGAATTCTATGAATTCGGACATACGACTCGACTCGCATACTGATTTTAGCGTACTATATAGTATGGAAGTATGTGGTTTCAGACGCAACCCTAGTAAGACCTTGATTAGCTTCTTCAGGTGTGTTTGATAAGGGTTGGAGCTAAAATCTGCAGGACACCGGCCCTCCAGGAACAAGTTTGGTGATCCCAGGTATAGTGCATTGCTAGGATTTTAATTTGGACAACTTTAAAGGCAACATTTCTTATCATTCTTATTGTATTTTCTTTTTTTATCCAATATTATCCGATCCTAACAAACCATACATCTATGGAAAGCTCATTTATTTAAATCTCAATAAAAAAGACACTTTTATGGTTCGTTTTGTAGACCAGGGTCAGATATTCAGATGACGTACCCTGCAATTTCCCAGTTCTTCCGCTTTCACAATAACAGTTCCACAGTTTTTCCCAGGGATGCCTCTAAAACCAGAAGAAACAATGCATGTTATTGAAGAGCACAACAATATTATTCTTGATTTTTCATATATTAGTATATCAGTATGTTGGCCTTAAAAATGCTGTAAGTTTTTGACTCTTCCAAAGCATAAAAATACCATAATATGTTTGCAGATATTTCAGAAACATGGTCAGTGAACATTCTGAGAAACAACGCTTAAGTCAGATATTCTGCTTTGAAAATGGAAATCTGACTTTGCTGGGTCATTTAACCCGCCCACTGCCAGTTTAGCCAATTATATTTCAGCACCCGGGTTTTCATGGTGGAAAACAGCGTAATTCATTCATTCAGTCATGAAAGCTCTCAAAGCATGCGCTTGTGTCCGGAATGCATCCTCTGGTGGATATTAGCAGATTCCGAAATGAGACGCAGATTCAGAGTTCCCCGTGAGGTTATTAATTAGCAAATAATATAAATATTACGAGCGTAAACATCAGGTGAGCAGGTTACATTGTAACCCCGTGTCCTAACAACACGCTACATGATGAGATTTGCAGTGATGAGCAATTTGCACCAGACGAAACACATCAGAAATGTAAATACAGCCATTCAGAAGCACAGAATAGTGCACTCACTGCACTCCAGCCAAACGGTAATGTTTATAATCTAATTACTACATATTAAACCTCTTTAACGTGATTAAATGTCGATGCTGAATCACTGATATGTGTTGGTTTGCACTGAGTCACAGCTCTAAAGTTCAATTTCAGACTGTTTATTTCATTTTCCTTTTTTAACAAAGAGGAGGAGCTTCTCTATGCCCCGCCCTCTCTGTATGTTTAAGTTGAGATTGTCAAACATCGAATTTAAAAAAATGCACATTTCAAAGCACTTCACGAGACATTTGAGTACTCGTTAACAGAGTAATCAGTATCAGTATTTCTCATCTAATCTTCTGACCAATCAAACGCTCACTAGTGTTTGACATGCCCCGCCCCCTTCTTCCTATATCATTTAATGCACTGGTGCTCAACGACTCTCACTGGCAGAGCTGTGATGAAACAAAACACTATTGGCTTTTTAAACAGGGGAGGGGCTAATTTATGCCCCGCCCTCTCTGTATTTTTAAATTGGGATTACGTCAAACATCGAATGAGCATACACATTTCAAAGCACTTCATAGAACATTTGAGTCCTCGTTAACAGAGTAATTAATAGATATGCTGACTGCTAAATGGACGATGCGTGAATGAGTGAACTTATTGAATGCATGTGTCTGTGCTGCATAAATAAATGTGTGTTTGCAGAAGCAGACGGGCAAATGCATGAGTGTTTTGCCATGCTCTTATATAAGACTACACTCGAGAAGCCCGATCCGGAATTGAATTTAAATTGCATGGACCCGACACTTCAACATCAGCCCGACAAAGACGAGCGCTGAAAGATTTCTGAAGATGATTTGATGAGAGAACAAACTTCTGCCTTACTTATGTGTCGCCTTGAGTGCTTGTTTCAATTCCGCTAAGTAGCTCTGGGTTATGCTATAAAGGTTGGAGAAGCAGGTCTATGCTAACTGAAGACATGCCTTTAATCTGCTCTGAATCTACAGATGTCCTCTGAGGCACTCTCTTAAATTAACCTGAAATGGGCAGCCGTCTATCAGGAATTACTTACAATGAAATATAAAAGAGAGAGATGAGGGAGAAGACCACGAGCTAGCTCGAAGCTACAAGCTAATCAGTTCAAACTGCAATCAAGCTACTTTTTTAATTAATCTGATACAGCTCATGTTTGGCTTAGAGACATTCCCTGTCAGCAGGGATGCAGTAGATATTACAGTGTAATGTTAAATCAATCATTATTACACTGTTTACAGCTTGTCAAATAGCCAAGCGCTGAAATATGAGCACAGCTAGCATTACTTTGAAGCAGCTAGCATTACTATGACACTACTAGCACTATTATGTCAAAACCACAGGGTAGTACTATGACACGACTAACAATACTGTTATGCAACAAGCACAACTAAGATGCATTTCTATGACCCAACTAGCATTCATTCCCTACCGAAAAAACAGCTTAAACCAGCCTAGGCTGGTTGGCTGGTTTTAGCTGGTCGACCAGGCTGGTTTTAGAGGGGTTTTGGCCACTTCCAGACTGGTTTCCAGCCATTTCCAGCCTGATCTTAGCTGGTCAGGCTGGGAGATGACCAGTTAAACCAGCTTGACCAACCTAGCCAGGATGGGAGCCCAGCCAAAACCAGCTATGTCCAGCTTAAACCAGGCTGGTCAAGCTGGTTTTAGCTGGATTTATCTGGTCATTTTCCAGCCTGACCAGCTAAAACCAGCCAACCAGCCTAGGCCCGGATTTAAGCTGGATTTTTCATCAGGGTTTGGTTTAAATACTGTGTAGTACCACTCTGACACAGTTGGCACACTACTATGACACAGATAGCATTGCTCTGATTTAACTAGCATTACTGTAGACAACTACAATGGCAAACTAGCACTACTATGGCACAGTTAACCCTACAATGATGCAGCTAGCATTATTTTAACAAAGCCAGCTATATTATGCCACAACAAACACTTTTATTATGCAGCTCTTAAATGACTATAAAACAACTAGCACAACTATGGCCCACCTAGCCATGCTATGGCCCAACTAGCCCTACTATGGCCCAACTATCCCCGCTATGGCCCAACTAGCCCTGCTATGGCCCAACTAGCCCTACTATGGCCCAACAAGTCTTACTATGGCCCAACTAGCCTGCAATGGCCCAACTTGCCCTACTATGGCCCAACTAGCCCTACAATGGCCCAACAAGTCTTACCATGGCCCAACTAGCCTGCTATGGCCCAACTTGCCCAACTATGGCCCAACTAGCCCTACTATAGCCCAACAAGTCTTACCATGGTCCAACATGTCCTACTATGGCCCAACTAGTCTTACTTTCTCCAACAAGCCCTGCTATGGACCAACAAGTCATTTATTCTCATCATTTTTCATCTTTATTCTTGCAATTTTCTACTTTATTTTTATAATTTCAACTTTATTCTCAAAATATTATGACAATAATCTTATATACATATATATATATATATATATGTATGTATGTGTGTGTGTGTGTGTATATATTTATATACACACACACACACACACAAACACACACACACACACAATACACATTTAATACACATGTAATAATGTTCATTCAGGGCGAACTAACCCTTTAACTGCTTGTGAATTACTTCAACATTGGTTCATATAGCAAACAGAGATGAACTGCGTGTCAGAAATGATCACGAATGAAAGTTGCATGAGCGATTCGCTGTAGCTTATGGCCTTAAATGCTTCTAAATGTATAATTTGCGACTGCAGCGCATGAATAGATGTATGTTGAGCGAGCTCTGAGCGAATGAATGAGAGTAGCGGCTCTGCTTACATAACACTCATCACTCCATATTACCGCTCAATGTGTCAGCAGTGCATCCATACATACACACACAGACATTATATATACAGCCAAACATAAACAGAACTCCGAGAAAAGGACTTGACAATGGAATGCATTTGCATGTGGAACATATACTGAATAATGTTGCATGTATAACGGCTGCTATTATTGTCTCGATTTAATTTTAAATCGTCTATTCATCTAAATCGGATATTCAATGCAGTATTGCAATTATTTTGAGACATAATAACAATAATTGGAATACAATTAAAAATATGCCACTTTGATTTGGATATTATTGAGCGATTTAGACGCAGTCAGCTCCAGTCAAATGAGAAAAGCTTATTTAATGCTCATTAAAGCTGAAGATCAGTGTTTGGTGTGGGCGTCGCACCGCAGGACTGATGCAATGATTCACATTACCAGTTTAATCAACAGTAAGAGCTAAAAAAATTAAACAAAGTATATAATAGTGAGCGAACACGAATCCTCCAACATTTGGAAGCATCCCATGAAAATCCTTCAATAAATGTGAATGTAAATATGCCCCAAAACCTTGCACAACATATTTAGATTAATAATTATTCTGTATTTGATGACAATAAATGACCTATTTTCACTTTAAATCTTAGAAGGATTGCGATGCCGGCTCAGTATTGTGTGGTCTATCGGCCATCGGCGATGGACGATAGCATCATCTATCAACCCAAACCTACTTTATACTTGCAATTTTCAACTTTATTTTTTATAATTTCGACTTTATTCTCTAAATATTACAACATTAATCTATTAACCTTATTTATATATATTGGTATTTTTAATGTGATAATAATTTGCCATTGTATAAATCTGACGGGTTTGAAACGACACAAGAAAATAATTTTCATGCAGTGTGAGCTGGCGAAGGATTGCAATGCCGGCTCAGTATCGTTATGTCTATCGGCCATCGGCGTACGCATTAGCATCATCAATCAACCCAAACCTACTTTAAACATGCGATTTTCAACCTAGAATTTTGACTTTATTCTCTAAATATTACAACATTAATCTATTAACTTTACATAAATTGTTATTTTTAATGTGATAATAATACGCCATTGTATAAATCTGACGGGTTTGAAACGACACATGAAAATAATGCTCATGCAGTGTGAGCTAACCCTTTAACTGCTCATGAACTGCTCCAACATTGGTTCATACAGTATATAAAACACAGATGAACTGTGTGTTATTATATTTATAATATAAACACATTTTTAAAACAAACACTTCATCCTGATCCACTTTTGGACATTTGTGTGTTGGCAGCAGATGCTAATGTTTCAAACCCAGTCCGCTTTATGAGCACGATGTCTCGTCCTCTCAAACGGAAAACACACGGCATCTCCTTCTTTTAATATATGGCTAAAATAAGCCTTTTCTTGCATTAAATTGGAAAAAAAAAGTCTCTCAGTGGATCATTTTTGTTCTAAAATGTCATTTTAAAACTAAGATGTATTAGTGTAAACGGGGCCTCAGTGTGTTTTTCGCAAGTGGGTTGCTGCTGCAACAGGTGCAGGGCGAAGGATTGCGATGCCGGCTCAGTATCGTCATGTCTATCGGTCATCGGCGTACGCATTAGCATCATCAATCAACCCAAACCTACTTTATACATGCAATTTTCAACTTATAATTTCGACTTTATTCTCTAAATATTACAACATTAATCTATTAACCTTACATAAATTGTTATTTTTAATGTGATAATAATACGCCATTGTATAAATCTGACGGGTTTGAAACGACACATGAAAATAATGCTCATGCAGTGTCAGCTAACCCTTTAACTGCTCATGAACTGCTCCAACACTGGTTCATACAGTATATCAAACACAGATGAACTGCCTGTTATCATAATTATAATCTAAGCACATTTTTAAAACAAACACTTCATCCTGATCCACTTTTGGACATTTGTGTGTTGGCAGCAGATGCTAATGTTTCAAACCCAGTCCGCTTTATGAGCACGATGTCTCGTCCTCTCAAACGGAAAACACACGGCATCTCCTTCTTTTAATATATGGCTAAAATAAGCCTTTTCTTGCATTAAATTGGAAAAAAAAAGTCTCTCAGTGGATCATTTTTGTTCTAAAATGTCATTTTAAAACTAAGATGTATTAGTGTAAACGGGGCCTCAGTGTGTTTTTCGCAAGTGGGTTGCTGCTGCAACAGGTGCAGGGCGAAGGATTGCGATGCCGGCTCAGTATCGTCATGTCTATCGGTCATCGGCGTACGCATTAGCATCATCAATCAACCCAAACCTACTTTATACATGCAATTTTCAACTTATAATTTCGACTTTATTCTCTAAATATTACAACATTAATCTATTAACCTTACATAAATTGTTATTTTTAATGTGATAATAATACGCCATTGTATAAATCTGACGGGTTTGAAACGACACATGAAAATAATCTTCATGCAGTGTGAGCTAACCCTTTAACTGCTCATGAACTGCTCCAACACTGGTTCATCTATCAAACACAGATGAACTGCGTGTTAATATAATTATAATATAAACACATTTTTTAAACAAACACTTCATCCTGATCCACTTTTGGACATTTGTGTGTTGGCAGCAGATGCTAATGTTTCAAACCCAGTCCGCTATTATTAACTTTATGAGCACGATGTCTCATCCTCTCAAACGGAAAACACACGGCATCTCCTTCGTTTAATATATGGCTAAAATAAGCCTTTTCTTGCATTAAATTGGAAAAAAAAGTCTCTCAGTGGTTCTTTACTGATGTTCGACAACCCTTTGAGTCATTTACTTCCATCATATTTCAACTTTATAATAGGGTTGGGCGATGTCGGCCAATTTGGCATTGTACGATGTCTAATGTGACATCACAATGGACGATGGTATCGTCGTTGTAGGCGGAGCTGAATTATTTATTTGTGAATGTTTATTTAATATTGGATTAATTATTTGTAGCTTACCGTTTCAACTGTTTTACGGTATCACCTTTAACAACTATATTTAGACGCCATCCAGCGGTACATCCTAGATAAACTGTCTGATATGCACTGCTCTCTGGGGGTTTGTGCTCAAAGCACCCGCTGACTGCTGGAGCTCAGACGAGCGCATGCACTGCTGAAGCGCATGACAGAGTGTGTGTGGGTCATGTGATGTGCGTTTACAGCAGTACAGTGTAGATGGAGGGATGTTCAGAAATGCTAGGTGAGACGCCAGTGTGGACGTGGATCGTTTCCGTTCTAGATATAATTTTAAAACTAAGCTGTATTAGTGTAAACGAGGCCTCAGTGTGTGTTTTTAGTGAGCGGGTAGCTGCAGCGATGGGGTCGGGGTGGAGGATTGCAATGCCGGCTCAGCATCGTGATGTCTACCGGCAGATAGTAATAATAAGTAGAGCTCAGAATGTGTTGTTTCACTTTAAAATATTTCCCATTTTCCACACTGAAACGCTGTGCTTCAGAAGCGTGTGGAGCTGAAATCTAAAATAACTTACATGAGTGATCTTTCCATGCGACTGCCTGGGGACCCGACCACCTCGCCCAGAGTACAGTACATCTGACCCAGGAAATCCTGCACACACACACACACACACACACACACACACACACACACACACACACACACACACACACATTATTTACGCTTCATCATTTCTGGCCATTTCAGCACAAGTAAATGCGTCTCATGATAAATATCTCAGTTCACATTCTTGAAATCAAAATAGATTATTATTTATGATGACAAGTCTGCTAATATATTTACAGCTAATGTAACTCTAATACTTTAAATTAGTGCTGTCAATCGATTAAAAAAAATTAACTAATTAATGGCACCTTTTTAAAAAAATTAATCGCGATTAATCCCATTTAAAATACTGAAACTTGTAATTTTGGCTATTTAAATGTAAAATTAATGTAAACGCAAGACAAAAAATATTTAAATTCAAAATATTATTGTTTTGTATGATCACGTTCATCAAATTTGCTTAAACTAAGCGTCCTAAAGTATTACTGTATTTCACAAGGATTCTGACACAACAACGCGAAGCAGACGCTTTCGTTGCGTTTAATGAGGAAACACGCTAAACTTGGAGGGCGCATGCTGAAAGGCAGAGTAATGCCCTGTCTTTGACAGCTCGCAACTTCACCAGACGTTCTGAGTACATTTACATAAGACACCAATACTCCGATTTTAATATGATTAAGATTATACTAAAATTCTACCGTGTAGCCTTAAAAGGAACCTTACCCTAAAGGAACACCGAGTCACGAAATGCGGAGGATTTTCTTTCGGTTCGCCATGCGGTATCAACTTACAACAGAAGTCGAAAGTTAAAAATGAAACACCCGAAATTGCATGAAACTCTGGATAACTTGTGATGCAACTAATTGTTTTATACTGGAACTTGCCTTCAAAAAGTGCTTCCTTGGTCTTATCCACATTTCTTGCATGCTGAACACACGTCCACCACAACAGGAAGTAAAAAAACCTGAGCTGCGTTAATTGCGCTATTTTTTAAAATTATTTAAAATTATTTTTAATTATTAAAATTATTTACATTATTTAATTAATTAATAATTAATTAATTATTTAAAATTATTTAATTATTTAAAATTAATCGCATGCGTTAACGCGTTAATTTTGACAGCGCTACTTTAAATATATATTCCTTTCACATTAGCAAATTCCTAATCAAGAACATGCAATAAATGAAGATCAAATCAGGCTCGGGTTAAAGTCTCATTCTCTCCATCCACATTTCACATTTCAAACAAGCAATTAAACATTCGTATTGATCATTTAAATCTGTATGAACCAGGGATGGGCGATGTTGACCAATTAGGCATCGTATGATATCTAATGTACAACATTGCGATGGGCGATAGCATCATCGTCGTCGTAGGCGGCAGTGAATTACTGTGAATTACAATGAATAATTAATTAATTCATAACAAATGTGTCAACTACCTGACCCGCATGCTCTTTGTTTTACCCATAACCAAACCTTAAATCAATGAAGATGAGTTGCACACAAATGACCACCTGTCAGCCACTTTTTCCACAGGACTCTAAGCAAAATAATCTCACGTCAAAAGAAAAAACAAGATTAATTTGCTTACCCCATTGGCAGATTATTTAGCTTGTTTAAAGGAAAAACTCACTTAATATTGGCATATTATTTCTCAAAACAAGACAATATGTTTTGCTTGTCTAGAAAATGCCTCTTGATATAAGAAATTTTAGATATTTAGACAAGAAACAAGACAAAAAATCTAAGCAAGAAAGGCATTTTTTGCAGTGTACGCACAGGAATCCTCTTTAAATCTAGATAAACCTGAATAAAATGGTGACAGAACGGTTTGCAGATGGAAAAGCAAGACTAAAAAAATAAGCAGACGTTCTCCTGAGAGAGTGTGTGTGCTCGGCATCTCTGAGCGCCAATCCCACAGGTGCATTCTGGGATACACAGTGACCCGCGCTTCAGACCTCACAAAACGCTTGGATAAATCAGGATAAAATCCCCATGATGAGGGTCAAGGCAGGAGCCGGCCGGGGCCACGCACATAAATAAAACACACACCGCACGAGTCCTGCAGCTCAGCTCGCGCACACACAAATGTACAAGAACACACTCACATGTTTGGACAGGTTTTCACTCTTCGAGTCAAGGTCGTACCTGGAAATACAAGAGGAGAAAAGTTAATCAATCGATTGGTGAGATGTGCCACCAAACAGAAAAGAGTTCACTAAAATTTAAAAACTTACAACTCCATCATACCTGGGTTTGTTTTTAAATGCTGCAAAACAATTAATCACATCCAAAATAACAAAATATTGTGCACCGGCCACTTTATTAGGTACACCTTACTAGTACCGGGTTGGACACTTTTGCCTAAAGAACTGCCTTAATCCTTCATGGCATAGATTCAACAAGCTACTGGAAATATTCCTCAGAGATATTGCTCTATATTGACATGATAGCATCACGCATTTGCTGCAGATTTGTCGGCTGCACATCCATGATGCCAATCTCCCGTTCCACCACATCCCAAAGGTGCTCAATTGGATTGAGTTCTGGGGACTGTGAAGGCCATTTGAGTACAGTGAACTCATTGTCGTGTTCAAGAAACCAGTCTGAGATGATTCACGCTGTATGACATGGTGCGTTATCCTGCTGGAAGTAGCCATCAGAAGATGGAGACACTGTGCTCATAAGTGATAGACATGGTCAGCAGCAATACTCAGGTAGGCTGTGGCGTTGACACGATGCTCAATTGGTACTAATGAACCCAAAGTGTGAAAATCTCCCCCACACCATTACACCACCACCACCAGCCTGAACCGCTGATACAAGGCAGGATGGATCCATGCTTTCATGTTGTTGAGGCCAAATTCTGACCCGAGCATCCCAATGTGTCAGCAGAAATGGAGACTCATCAGAGCAGCAACGTTTCTCCAATCTTCTATTGTCCAGTTTTGGTGAGTCTGTGTGAATTGTAGCCTCAGTTTCCTGTTCTTAGCTGACAGGAGCGGCACCCGGTGTGCTCTTCTGCTGCTGTAGCCCATCCGCCTCAAGGTTGGTCGTGTTGTGTGTTCAGAGATGCTCTTCTGCAGACCTCGGTTGGTTATTTGAGTTACTGTTGCCTTTATATCAGCTGGAACCAGTCTGGCCATTCTCCTCTGACCTCTGGCATCAACAAGGCATTCGCGCCCACAGAACTGCCGCTCACTGGACCATCTTTGTTGGACCATTCTCTGTAAACCCTAGAGATGGTTGTGGGTGAAAATCCCAGTAGATCAGCAGTTTCTGGAATACTCAGAGCAGCCCGTCTGGCACTAAAAACCATGCCACGTTCAAAGTCACTTAAATCCTCTTTCTTTCCCATTCTGGTGCTCGCTTTGAACTGCAGCAGATCGTCTCGACCATGTCTACATACCTAAATGCTGCCATGTGATTGGCTGATTATAATTTTGCATTAACGAGCAGTTAGACAGGTGTACCTAATAAAGTGGCCGTCAGTGTTTTTTCCCCACTGTGAATATCCAACATTTTGCATGCGATTAATCATTTAACAGCACATTTTTTAACGCTTTATTTTTTGCAGTAGTCGCCTTGATACATACTAGGAGCCTAAATCAAAGCTCTGCAGACTGTACACCGTGAGCATGCTATATTATGGATTGATGGAATAAAGTTAGTGCTCTTATTCCTGAGGAGATTTGAGCATGAATGTTTGGTCAGGTAGAAGCTGGAAATATCCGTGCTGACGCTGCTCGTTTCCTACAGCAGGAGGAAGAAAGAGACGCGCAGGCAAAAACACAGAACAGAGAGGCAGCCAAGAGTGTAGATTCACGCTGAGAGGAAAATAACATGTATCCCAACATGACAGATTTTTCTTCAAACATGTAGGTTGGTGCCACCCACCGAGGCTCGGTTCAAGCCGCGGGCGCGTGTTCATTCAGAAGTAAACAGAGGAGGCGACTTATTTTAGCTCCTAGAGTAAGCGCAGCGCAGCGCAGAATACAACATGACTTAGAGGTAAAGCGTGCAGTTTCTTGATCTTACAGTTCCTTCTTCTATCCTGACACCTTCTTCTGCTAGTGTTTGCTAAGCGATTATTACTTGTTTGTTATGTTTTTTATATTAATTAAAAGACAAATCGAATGCTTGAATATGAGTAGATACTAAGGCCCAATCCCAGTTCTATTTTATACCTCTTTAGAATTATTAGATTTGGACTTAGAATTATATTACGATATTTTTTAGGTATTTATGGCGATATTATTGGCGATAATTAATAAGTATCGACTGAGTGTCAAAAAAAAGTCCTGCATCTTTCGAGAAAAGTATTAATTTTCATATAAGTTTTTCATATTTTAATGTTATTTCTGCTTCATTCATACTGTGCACTAGATGGCGCTCTCGCACATCTCCATTCTCCACATATACATTGGTGAAAAAGTTGCTTTGTGGCGGCATTATCTACATTATTTGTGTTCTTTGAGTTCTTCTGGGTATTTTTTAGGCATAAAATATATTTATAATGCAATGCTAATTGACCTAACCTTTATCGCGTAAATGTACGGTATAGAATACTATAAATACTATTATTGATTCTTCATACTACGATATTAAACCATGTCGGATCTGAAAAATGAATCGGGAGTTTCACATTGTAATAAACAATTATACGTTTTATCGTTATTATCACAATTAGTCACATTGTTTTATTGTAGGGAGAATCATGGGTATATAGCGAACAATTATATATCGCTTATCTTAAGTAATATATGGGACAGCACTACTACACACGCACAGGTCATCATGTTGTCACTAGCGCAGGTTTCGAAATCTGCGGATGCTGCGTTTTCAATTCATTCACACGGAAGTGCGTGAGTGTTGATGCTAAATTTACATATGAATGAACTGAAAACCTGATGTCACGCACTCCAGCATGAAGAGCATTCATAAAGTGGTCGTCTACTAACATAAAAAGCCAACCCAAGCTCATTCTGGAAACGTAGCCCCGCGGACGTTTCTGGAGACCGCGATTTACGTGGCCGGAGGTACGTAAAGGCCGCGTTTGGTTTTTTTCGAGCGAACGCTGCGGGGCGGTGTGGCGCCGCTCCGCCCCTCCTCTTCGCGCTCGCCGGCCGACAGCTCGCCTCCGAGTGGAGGGCTTTCCCGACGCAATCAGTTTGTCCGCCTAGCTCATAGCGTTGCGTCGGCAGAGCGGAAGCCCCGGAGGAGGAGGAGCCGGAGCCGGCCGCGGTGGACGACGACCGGGATCTAGTCCGGGGAACAGCGGGTTCCGGAAATCAGGTAAGACGAAAAACGGAATCCGGAAAATAAGGGCGAGAACGCGGCGGGATCCGAAAACGCGGTTGAAATCGAAGACGAGGGCTTTTGCTTTTTTTTTTTTTTTTTCGATCCGGCGGCTTTTCGCGCGAGAACGGGAGGCGTTCGGATCCGCGAAAACAAAAAAACGCTCGAATACGTACCTCCCGGGACGTAAATCGCGGTCCGCAGAAACGTCCGCGGGGCTACGTTTCCACAATGAGCCCGGGTTGTAAAAAGCGCAGTGCACTGCTCTGTACTAATGTCAACAGAAAAGCATATATATTAGCCTCCTGTGGTTGCCAGTTGCCATGAAACTATACTTTGTAATTACAGTGCTCGTATAAATTTATGTAAACACACGAAAACAACATCAACATTATATTAGTCATGCAGACGATTGATGCGAATGAGTCTAAGATGGTTGCTAGGATGTTGCTAAATGACTGGTTTGCTATTATAGATGGTTGTTAGGTTGCTGCTAAATGGCTGAAAGGCTTTGCAGATTCTAGATGGTTGCTAGGCTTTTACTAAATGATTGTAAACAAGTTTTATCTGGTTGCTAGAATGCTGATTAATGGTCGCAGTTATGGATGGTTGCTAGGGCATTGCTAAATTACTTCTTTGCAATTATAGATGGTTGTTAGGTTGCTGATAAATGGCTGAAAAGGGGTTGTGGAATCTAGATGGTTGCTAGGCTTTTACTAAATTATTGAAAACAGGTTCTATATGGTTGCTTGGATGTTGATTAATGGTTGCAGTGGGATTCTGAATGGATGCTAGCACATTGCTAAATGACTACTTTGGGAATACAGATGGTTGTTAGGTTGCTGATAAATGACTGAAAAGGGGTTCTAAAATCTAGATGGTTGCTAGGCTTTTACTAAATTATTGTACACAGGTTCTATGTGGTTGCTAGGATGTTGTTTAATGGTTGCAGTGGGGTTCTTGATGGTTGCTAGGGCATTGCTAAATGACTGCATTGCGATTATAAATGGCTGTTGAGTGGCTGCTAAATTGCTGCAAAAGCGGTTCTGGATGGTTGCTAGGCTTTTGCTATAGGTAAATATGCAAACAGGTTCTATCTGGTCGCTAGGGTGTTGATTAATGGTTGCGGGCAGATTCGAGATGGTTCTTAGTTTATTACTGGATGGTTGAAGAGAGGATCTAGATGGTTGTTGAGATTTGGTAGATTGTTGCTAGCATGTTGCTAGATGCACACAAATAATTCTAGATGGTTGCTAGGATTTCGCTAGATGATTGTGAACAAGTTCTATATGGTTTCTACTAGAATGTTGCTTGAATGTTGTGATTCGGTTTAAGATGGTTGCTAGGATGTTGCTAAATGACTTCTTTCTGATTATCAATGGTTGTCAGGTTGTTTCTTAATGTCTGTGAAGGGGTTGTAGATAGTTGTTGGACGTTGCTAAATGGTTATAAATGGTTCTAGAAAGGATTTTGCAACACTATTGTAAACAGGTGCTATATGGTTGATAGGATGTTGATTAATGGTTGCACAGGGGTTCTTGACGGTTGCTAGTAAATTGCTAAAAAACTGCTTTGAGATAATAGATGGTTGTTAGGTTGCTGCCAAAGGGGTTTTAGATGGTTGCCAGGCTTTTGCTATATGGAAATATGTAAACAGGTCCTATGTGGTCGCTAGGATGTTAATTAATGGTTGCAATAAGATTCTAGATGGTTCTTAGGTTAGTCCTGGATGGTTGAAGATGGGATCTAGATGGTTGCTAAGACTTTGCTAGGATGTTGCTAGATGGTCACAAATAATAATAGATGGTGGGTGGGCATTTCTTAAATTATTATTAATTAAATTCTTATGGTTGTTAAGGTGTTGGATGAAGATTGCTAAGCTGTTCTACAAGATTGCTTAGATGTTGTTAAATGGTTGTGATGGGATTATAGATGGTTGCTAGAATACTGCACATCTGTTCTGGGTAGTTGCGAGGACATTGCTAGATGGTTGCAAAGGGTTTCTAGTTGTTTGCTAGAATGTTGTCGTGTGGTTGTAATTGTCTTCTATATAGTCTTTATGGTTTTCGAGTGATTTTAAATGGCTTTTTGGATTTTTGCTTAATTGTTGTAAAGGATTCTGGATGGTTTCCTTAGTGCTCTGCGTAATTGCTGCCTGCTAAAACCACTGAGGTCTTCATATAACGGCTCGTGTTTCTCCACTGATGTAGGTCTAGGGACTTTTTCCGATGTTTTTTTCATCCACTTGGTAAAAATAGTAATTCATTTTAGAGCAGTATTAGCATATCTCCCCTCAAAAAAAGGAGATCTGACAATTTCTACTAGAAATCTCCATGGTTACCAAACAGAAGAGAGAGGATTCTCAAGTTAGTATTTATATATACGGAGAGCCAGAGCTCGGGACCAGGTCTAAAACTGTCAGGTGAAAACACACACACACACACACACACACACATACACACACACACACACATATATACAAGCAAACACACTGATGGATGTGACATATCCATCAAAATGTCACATCCTGAATACAATGATATCAGGACAGGGAGATGATTGCACATCCAGCCACACACACACACACACGTAATTGATGTTCTATTCAGCCCATGTGTAGACGTTAAACACTCATGTATAATGTGTGCGTGTGTTTCCAGGTGATTTGTAATAGTGATGTACTGTACGTATGGAGCTGTGTGGATGCCCTAATGGAGGATATGCAGTGTTTGTTTGACCGTGCGCATGTGTGTGTGTGTGTGTGTGACGGAGGTGAATAATGCATAAATGTAATTTCTGGGATACTGCTGCATAAAATGTGCTTCACTGAGCGGAAGCAAGCCAAAACCCTGCAGGCTGTGTGTGTGTGTGTGTGTGTGTGTGTGTGTGTGTATGAGAGAGTGAAATCATACACAACTGCATTAAAAGGTCTCCTATGTTTCTTGGGAAAACGGCACTTCATGAAAATGTCTAATTGAAGATGGAGTTCATCAAATATGTAAATAGGTGCGCTGTTTTTAATTATTGACACATAAAATGACAGATTTTAAACTGCATGGATTATTTTTTTAGAAAACAAACGAACAGACACTGATCTCATACACCACTATGTTATGATAGACGGGTTTAAAAATGAACATTTTTCTTCTTTTGTGTGACGCAGAGTCAAAATAAAGTGTATTAAGAATGTAAAGATTATTTTTTGTGAAGTGTAAAAAAGTGTATTGGAGTTTGTTCAACCATAACAGCATATTTGAGTCCCTCTGCTTCATAATGTTTCAATTTGAAAATTCATATATTTTTGAGTGAAAAGTATGCTCTCTCTATATTTTAAAGTGAAGATGAAGAGTCAAGTAAACTTTTTGATGCATTTGTTCAACCCAGGCTCATTCTGAAAACAGCACTATATACATTTCGGAAGAGAGCCATGTATCTGTCAATTCGCACCTGCTTTTCTCGTGTAAATCCAGCAGAGAGCGCTGATGAGTGACTGACTGACCCATCCTCCTCTTTCCTTAAACATAACTGATAGTGTCTTCAAAAGCACCGATTGACCTACCCTTTTCCCTAAACCCAACTGATAGTGTCTTCAAAAGCACAGATTGACCTACCCTTTTCCCTAAACCCAACCGATAGTGTCTTCAAAAGCATGATTGACCTGCCCACCCTTATCCTTAAACCCAACCCATAGTGTCTTCAAAAGCACAATTGACCCACCCACTTCCTTAAACCCAACCGATAGTGTCTTCAAAATCACGATTGACCTGCCCACCCTCTGTCCTTAACCCAACCGATAGTGTCTTCAAAAGCACGACTGACCTGCTCACCCTCTTCCTTAAACCCAACCAATAGTGTTTTCAAAAGCACAATTGATCCACCCACTTCCCTTAACCCAACCGATATTGTCTTCAAAAAAACGATTGACCCACCCACTTCGCTAAACCCAACCGATAGTGTTTTCAAAAGCAATCTGCCTGATTTTTAGCACGTTTTCAGATATTACCATGTTCTCACTCTGTTATTTACTTGTTTATTTAATTTTTTTGGCTTTTGTTTTTGTCTTACCTGCTTTCTGCTTCTCACAACTTCGCTCGGAGAAGAAACGGTCTCATACCGCCCTGTAGCATTTGTTTTAAAGACAAAATGCAGCCGTTTATACCTCTGGCTACATAATACGTGATCTCCAGATATGTATATAGGGCTACATTTTCAGATTGAGTCTGGGTTGCGTTTGTTTCATGTTTTTAATATTTTTATATGATAATTTGTTTTATTATATCAGACCTTTTTCATAATCCCCAAAACAAACACATTAGCGTGCAGATGATACTCACAGATCAAAGCGTAAATTCTGCCTCTCTTCAAAGAAGTAATCCAGGATGAATTTGTGCACAAAGTCTGGATTCAGCGTGTTATCGATGACTTCTGTCCTGCCAAACTAAACAACCAAACACTCATCATGTGAGCAGCACGAATGAAAATACAGCTCTGAAAACGCTCATTCAGACAATACGTTACCTCTCGCCACTCTCTGTTGGCCACCGTCTGAGTGTACAGTACGCAAACTACACACAAAGAAAAGCAGGAAAAAGAAATGTGCAACATACTTCAATAAGATTGTTAGAACAGTTTGCTGAAAATGTAATGTCGCACATTTGTGATTTGAGTTTACGACATACCGTATTTAACGGTAAACTTTTTATGTATTACTAGAGCATGTCATGATTTCGCCAAGTACGATGCGATGATCCTGGATTAACATCTATGTTGATCCTGGAACACCATTTTTGTTCGAAAATGTAATCAATACAAATTCCCTACTCCTAAACCCAACAGTAACTGTAAACTATTCCCAAAATCAGAGGGGAATTATAGTTGGATAATAATAATAATAATCATAATAATAATAATAATAATAATGATTCCTTACATTCATATTGGGTTTTTCTAGACCAGGGGTGGCGAACCCGCGGCTCGCGAGCCGCTTGCGGCTCTTTTACTGCTCTTGTGCGGCTCAACCTCTCGCGCGATTTAACATACATTAACCAATTGACTAACGCCCCATTCACACGGGGCTTCTGCGTCTCTTTCTGCTTTTGTGCGGCTCAACCTCTTGCGCGATTTAACATATAATAACCAATTGACTAATGCCCCATTCACACGGGGCTTCACGTTGCTCGCTGCAGAAGCTGGGAGTAGCTCAACTTTTCAAGCGCTTACGGACGCGTTAGCCAATCAGATCGCTGTATGCAAATACACCTGCTAGAAAGTGGCCTATTGCTGACTGAATTTTATTTTCTGACGCTTCCATTCAGACACGCCTTCAGTCAAGGGTTGACACTGAAGCCCCGTTTGATTGGGGCGCAACACGAGTGACGTGCAGTTCGTTAATATCATTCGTCATGGCAGAGTCAGGAAAGCGTACAGCTAAGCGTAAATACGAAGATGAGGGCAGAACAATTTTATCTGAATGGGATTTTACACTGAAACTAGTGAAATCAAAGCATCGCTCTGTTCTTACTGACACACATGTGAAAGAGTTACTACGAGTAGCCACAACTGAATACGAGCCAGACCTGAAAAAGATTGTGGAAACCAAGGAATGTCAGGTGTCCCACTGAGTCAAGTAAAATGAGGTAGGCTAATTTAAATACATGAAAACTATTGCGTTATATAATTAGGTGTATAAGTTATTGTGACAGATATACTGTTGTTTGCACATCTGTTGTGTGGCTCTTTGCAGTGATAAAGTTTTTTTTTTGGCTCATCATGCCAAACAGGTTCGCCACCCCTGTTCTAGACATTCAAAGTACTTTACACAATGGGGGAATCTCCTCATCCACCACCAGTGTGCAGCATCCACCTGGATGACCAAGCCATATTGCGCCAGACCACGACAATTATGATATGGGGATGATTAGGAGGCGATGATGAACAAAGGCCAGCGGGCAATTTTGGTCACGATTTCGGGGTTATCGAAGAACATCCTGGGATTTTTAACGACCTGAGCAATATAGAGTCCCATTCACTATACTGGGGCGTTAGGACCCATACAGACTGCAGGTTGAGCGCCCCCTGTAGGCCCTGCACAAGATGTTACTATTAGGTTAAATTTAGGTTGTGATGTCAGGTGACCAAAATTCAATGTCTAGCCAGTTTCTAAGGACTTTGATGTCCAATAACGAGTCAGATAACGTTGATTTTAGGTTGTGTTGGAAAGTGACGAAATCCAATGTCGAGCCAACATCTTAAACCATCGTCATATTGATGTCAAATACTGACATTTATTTATCAGGTATGGCAACCAAAATTCAACGTCTGATAGACGTCATAGTGGTAACGTCCACACAACGTCAAGCTGCAACATCAGGCGTTGATATTTGATTGGATTTAGGTTGTGTTAGAAAGTGACCAAAAATCGAATGTCTGTCCGACAGTTGAACACTAACGTCGGTGTGACATTGGGTTTTGGCGTCAACCTGATTTTCATTTCCACCCAAAATGGAACATCCCAAAACGTTGGGGTAAATCACACAAGCAAACGTTGTCATCCTGAATATTAGCATGAGCTCAAAACGTAACGTGATCCTAATACAATCGTCCAACAAAGAAGACATTTATATTTAATGAGTAGCACTTTAAATGAGTGTGTGTGGGTGTTTCCCAGTGATGGGTTGCAGCTGGAAGGGCATCCGCTGCGTAAAACATATGCTGGATAAGTTGGCGGTTCATCCCCTGATTAATATAAGGACTAAGCCAAAAATAAAATAAATGAATGAGCTACACTTCAGACACCAATGAAAACAGTTTTAATAAAAGCCTTGAGCAGAACATGTGTGTGTCCCAGAACAGCACTGCGGTGTTCTCTTCCTGAATGAACCTGTTTCTGAACGAATCATGTGAGCCAGCGATTCAATTATTCATCCTTAAAGACAGGCGTACACAATGTCACACTTACTTATTCATGACAGAGCTAATCCAGCAAGAGAAACACACACACACACACACTCTGTAAAATATGCATTATTATTAAAAAACATCCCAAAAGACACATGAGATAATGTCATTGTGAGGATCGCACACCCTTAACGCATCTCCGCTTTGTTAATCCGGCAAATTAAGAAATCAAAAGCGCACGGAAGATAATGAATGTGGAGCTCTTGAGAGATTACGGGCTCATTTGTCTCGCATACATGTCATTAACACACACACACACTCAGTAGTCTCGCCGATTCATATCACAAGCGTAATAATGCCATTTCAGAACATCTGCTCATCTGCCCGGGGACGTTCCTCTAAACACGAGCCGATACCTGCCGTCAGACTGAGGCTAAAAATAAGCCTAATTAAAAAAAAAAGAGCATCATCTTCTGTCGACTGTGAAAAATCCTCCACCTTTATACGGAGTTTACCGCGTGTGACTTCATGACCAGCTGCACTCCTGCCTGTCCTGAGAGACGGATCTGCCTCAGCTGTCCGAAAACACACAGAAACAGTCTAACTTTCATTCTGTCTGATGGCCGGGGAGATGCACATGGTGATCTGGAGGCTTTACAAAACATTAACGATTTTTGGAAATGACAGTATTTAACTGTAATATGAACTGTATTTTACTGTAGGACAGTTATGCAGTGTGTTACTGTATTGCAAAAGATACATTGTAGAAATTACTGTATATTTTACACTAAGATTTACATATAATTCTGCAAACACATACAGTGCATCTGGGAAGTATTGATGGCGCTTCACTTTTGCCACATTTGTTTATATTACAGCCTTATTCCAAAATGGATTAAATTGATTTCCTCAACATTCTACACACAATCCCCCATAATGTGAAAATGTGAAAATAGAGTTTTTGAAATTGTTGCACATTTATTAAAAATAAAAAGCTGTAAAATCACATTGGCTGAAGCTCTACACTGAGCTCAGGTACATTCTGTTTCCACTGGACATTCGTGAGATGTTTCAGCAGCTTCATTGGAGATCACCTGTGGTCAGTTCAGCTTATTTGACATGATCTGAAAAGGCTACACCTGTCTATATAAGGGCCCAGGGTTGACAGTGCATGTCAAAGCACAAACCAAGCATGAAGACAAAGGAATTGTCTGTAGACCTCCGAGACAGGATTGTCTGGAGGCACAAGGCTGGGGAAGCTTACAGAAACATTTCTGCTGCTCTGAAAGTTCCAATGAGCACAGCGGCCTCCATCATCCGTAAGTGGGAGATGTTTAACCACCAGGACTCTTCCTAGAATCTGAGCGAGTGATCGGGGGAGAACGGCTTTAGTCAGGGAGGTGATTAATAACCCGATGGTCACTCTGTCTGAGCTCCAGCCTTCTTCTGTGGAGAGAGGAGAACCTTACAGAAGGACAACCATCTGTGCAGCAATCCACCAATCAGGCATCTGTATGGTAGAGGGGCCAGACGCAAGACACTCCCCGCCTGGAGTTTGCCATCTGAAGGACTCTCAGAGCATCAGAAACTAAACTCTCTGCTCTGATGAGACTCAAACTGAACTGTTTGGAGTGAACGCCAGGCGTTACGTTTGGAGGAAAGCAGGCAGCGCTCATCAGCAGGCTAACAGCATCCCTACAGTGAAGCACGGTGGAGGCAGCGTCATGCTGTGGGGATGTGTTTCAGCAGCAGGAACTGGAAGACTAGTCAGGATAGAGGGAAAGATGAATGCAGCGATGTACAGAGACATCCTGAATGAAGACCTGCACAATAGTGCTCTTGACTGTGGTGACGGTTCATCTTCCAGCAGGACAACGACCCAAAGCACACCGCCAAAATATCAATGGAGCGGCTTCACAACAACTCGGTGAATCTCCTTGAGTGGCCCAGCCAGAGCCCAGACCTAAATCATATTGAACATCACTGGAGAGATCTGAAAATGGCTGGACACAGTCGCCTCCCATCCAACCTGATAGAGCTTGAGAGATACTGCAAAGAAGAATGGAAAATTCCCAAAGACAGGTGTGCAGAGCTTGTGGCATCATATTCAAAAAGACTTGAGGCTGTAATCGCTGCCAAAGGTGCATCTACAAAGCATTGAGCAAAGGCTGTGAATACTGATGTACATGTGATTTTACAGCTTTTTATTTGTAATAAATTTGCAACAATTCAAAAACTCTTTGTTCACATTGTCATGATGGGGGATTGTGTGTGGAATGTTGAGGAAATCAATCAATTTAAGGCTGTAACATATGAAAAACATGTGAAAAAAGTGAAGCACCATCAACACTCTCCAGATACACTGTATATTGTACTGTATTAAAAAAATACAATCTAACATTTTGTATTTTCAGATACAAATATTGAACAATCAAACATAACATAACATGCTCATCATTGTATAAATTATTTTAAACAATAATACATTTCTTGTCGGCTTTGTCCCTTTATTAAATATGTTGGCGGAATGAACCGCCAACTTATCCAGCAAGCTTTTTTTACGCAGCAGATGCCCTTCCAGCCGCAACCCATCTCTGGGAAACATCCACACACACACTCACACACTACGGACAATTTAGCCTACCCAATTCCACCTGTACCGCATGTC